AGGGATTTCCATTGGTTATGGTCACATGATTAAGTTGGATCGCTGGATCGCTCGGCGACCTAGCGAAACGGACCGCCAGCTCGATAGGCGAGTTGGCTACCCAGATCATAGTACTTGAGGATGAAGGTTCTATATAAGACTGGCACGTCTGCCATTAGATAGGAGCTTCGTGCTCAACTTAGTTATCAATCTTATCATATTTGTTTGACATCTTTGATACAAGTAACGAGTTCACTTCCAAGTGAACAACCCGATAGTCTTCTTCTTATCATAGCATACCAACCAGCGAACACCCAGCCAAGTTTAGTTAGCCAGTTTGAGCATTCGTTACAGCAGGAACGTAAACCTTTAAGACTTACTACTTTAGGAAGGGAAAAGTGGGTCGGACAGGAACACCAAAACTCGTCCGCTGGGTACAGCTCTTTACGCCTACGTAGCGGCACTTCCACATGTCGGAACGACATAAAAATATGACAGGTTTATAGGGTCAATTAAGTACTGTCTTGTCCTCGAAGGATGTACGTTTCCGACGGGTAGGAGTGCCGCTACGTAGGTGCAAAGAGCCGCATGCGTGCAGGTGAGGCTCAGTGCGCATGCGGCTCTCGGTACCGGCTCCCCGTGTGGCTGAGTGTGGCTTTGCGGCAATACGAGCGATACGAGTTCTTGCCCACACGACGGCTTTAAGAGTCTCCCTAGAGACTCTTATACTAAGATTATATAAAATATATCTAATACTTTTGTAAGGATTTTAGATACTCGGGTAATAAACGTAACTATATTACCTGTATAATAATAAACCCCTATTATAGTTAGTTAAATACCTTAAAGTAATTAAATACGTATTAAATATACTAAAAATTATTTAAGTATACAGTAAGAAGGGATTAAAAAGAACGTATATCATAGCTCCCTCGGGTGGGCTCGAACCACCAACCTCTCGATCGCGCGGTCTTACAAGAGACTTAACAGTCGAACGCGCTAGCCAATTGCGCCACGAGGGATGTTGCTAATTTATTACTGGTGGAGAACTTATTTGGAAATATGTTAAAAATTGAATGGGTTGTGGGCGATTTGTGGGTATTGCCATAACATCGGGCCGACTGAGGCTTGTGATTGGAGGATGTGGATGAAGTTCGGAATTCCTATCAGCTGGAGTTAATTCACAGCCCTGGAGAATGCTCTTATAAGCCACATAATAACCTTGCCCCTAAATCACACTTGTTTACGAGTACTACGAATCCATTTCAAAGACTGGCAAATCTGTTGAGAAACGAGATCTATAATTTCTCTGGTGGCTTTGGATTTCTATTTTCACACAATCTATCTGGCCTTGGCAGATCAGAATCTCTCGTATTACCTCCTTGAAAAAACAAAGGCGACTTTTCCCTACACGCTTTATGAGAGATACATCAGTAGTCTTTTGGGGACTGCAAGAGAGCTATAACTAGCTATCAAAGGGCTTAATAAGGGACTCACTCTATAGACACTGCGTACTGTTTCGCTTAATTAATATTAATCCTACTATCTCAGAGGTGATGGGCAGAGAGATTTGATTAATGTTACTGCTTTTATATACTTAAAGTAAATTTTGACGGCACTCTAACATATTACATCTAAGACTTTCTCTGTACGGAACTAAATAGAAGACTTCCTTTATGGAACTTATTTCTTTATTAAAGTTTGTGTGCTAGTATTATTCACTTATATTTCCCTAGCTATACAGTACTTTATATATGTCTAGATAAAGATATTATAGAACAGTTTACACGAAGCTTGGACCGTAACCTGTTCCCCCACCTTGTTGCACGTCTAGCTGTGGTACATACCCGTAATGGCGCCCAGGAAGTAAATCTCCATCTTGTGGTGGTCTAGGAATGGCTTTGAGAGCAGCTTGTATCCGTCCTGCGCTCTCCAAAAAACGATCTTGGATCCCGGCATATCCTTCAATAGCGAGACTCCCATCTCGCTTCCTGTACTCGCCATTAACCAAGACATGAACAATATCGCCAACACTTGCATGAAGGATTACAGCAGCCACAGGATCCGACCAACCTAGAAGCGCTGGAGATCTACCGTCCCAGACCACACGGTCAGCTTTCGCGTTTTCTGAAATCACACCTAGATCACGGCGGCCGAGAGCAAGACCTCCGTTTCGTGTTGCAAGAAGAAATGCCTGATTAACAGAGAATGGACCCTTGCCTGGCACTTCCCATCGATCCAGAGTCTCTTTGAATACAACCGCTCTTGTGGATTGAAGCCAGAGTCGTGCTTGGGTAAGTATATCCGTCGAGAATGTAAAGTGGGTATCAACTCCAAGTGATGCTTGATCCATAATAAGATGAGATGTTGGGTGGAGATGACCATAGTGCATCTCACTGTCGGGCGTAATGGAAATGTGTTGGTTGGTGCTACGTAAGAGGCTGGCTCCTCTTGGGGTCAGATATGAAGTATGTGATAGAACAACCGGTAGACTCATGTTAAGAACTCCGGCCTTATAAAGATCTTCGGGAGGATTTCCAACCAAGAATCTGTATCAGAGCTATTTCGATATCATGAAATACTCATTGCTTACAAGACCAAGCGCCTTCAACGCTATGGGCGGTTAGTGACGATGCATTGCCGTTACTAGCGAATCTGTTTAGTGTATTCTAACTAAAGCTCAAGCATTTATACATACAGTACAAGGTCTATCACGGACAAAGTATCCGCTCCATGTGGATTTCCCGTCCAATCATCATAAGCTATAGCAAGCTCAGTGAGATTGCTTGATATTTTTGATTCCAATTCCCGCCACTGAGCGATTTGCTCGGGAACTCCAAAGTCGCGGGGGAGTTCTGGAAAGTGTAAGCGAAAAATACCCTAGTCCCACTATCGATCGAGGCATTCAGGCCTGCTTCCGAATATTTAGCCGTCCAAGTATGATGTGCATGGTCAAGTATTGTCGTAACTCCAGCAGCCAAGGCTTCATAAATGCCCGTAAGCTGGCTGATATAGATATCTTCTGGAGTAAACAATGGCTCGGCAACACTGGTACCGTACCTGAAAGCATACTCTGCCAAAGTTGTATTAGAGCCGAGAGTCTTGAATACCGTCTGCCATCCATGACGATGAGTATCGATAAAGCCAGGGGTAATAATTTTGTTTGTGCAGTCAATAACCTCAGTATCGGGAGAAATTCCCTCAGGCGAAGCAGTCGAAAAGATCGAAGTAATGCTGTCGCCATTAATAAGGATAGATTCATCACGAATTACTTTCAATTCTCCCGCCTCCGCCTGGTTGTCGAAGGAGATAATTGTGCCACCTTTCAGCAGTTTTGAACAAGCCCCAATGGTTACACAGTAGAAAAGGGTAACTGTTGTTGAAGCTAGCTTTGTGACCAACATCGCTGAAAGATTCGACCCAAGGATTCAAAAGATGCACAGCAATATATTCGCTTTTTATATACCATAGTCAAGAATGGGTATCTGGTGCGCAGTGCTTGATGTGATGCTCGTATTGAACAACTGGAAAGCGGGGTTCAATACACAAAATAAGCTGATTAATCACCCGATGATACAGTAGTCTTTTCAAGCCTCAAATTTTGTGAGACAGCCCCGTGTCATCCTTGGCTCACTTATAAACAACAATACAGACAGAATCAGGTAAATCCGTATTTTAAAGCCGTATTGTCCTCGATAATCTTAGTTCACTTCAAATCGCTTCAAAGTCTTTCTCCATAGACTCGACTACTTCTCTTCCCTCTGGGGACTCGGGAGCCGTGATTTGCGAACCGTGCCTGTAGAATACAGCTCGCGACCTAATCGAGCACAAAAGAGTGGGGATTGAGTACAAAAGGTATGGAGGGATCTTAGGGACAGAGGGTACAGTACTCCAGAAAATAATATACTTTAAGAAATCGACAACAGCCTATAATTAGCTTTTAAGAGAGTTTAAGCGCAACCCGAGCTTTCCGTAAGCTATCTGTCTATATTATAGGACCTTTCCCCCTCCCTTTACCTCTGAAAACCACCTATGAGTGCTTTCCTACTTTGCTGTCCTGTAAGTCTCTACTTCTATTATACCTCTATCCCCCCCATGGCTATAAACAATCAAACGCGTAAACAAGTAGATACTCCTTAAAGAACTGCATCTTTGGTACGGTTTAAGGTTCAACGGTCACTGTTGGTGTCTGTAAATCACGGCTCCCAGGTCGTTTTTGTACCCCTGGCCGTCCCGCGCGGGAGGAGCGGTGATTTACGAACACATTTACCATAGGGAGCTTCGTCCCGACTCTCCTGTCAATTCTCATCTTGGGTCAAGAGCATGAAAAAGTCACATTTCTCAGCATACTCTGGTCTCAATACAGTCTCGACAATGTACTTACCGACCGGCTCTCGTGTGCGGAAGGTGGGTTAGGCTACAAGTTTGAGAACTGAATGGAGGAGTTTGTGAAAGAATTTCTGTTTTGATTGATGATCATAGGCATGTGCTCTCGGAGAGCTTGAGATCCAACGAGAATACCAAAGTTTATTGTGAGATCCGCAATATTGCGGAGATCTTCATTTTTCTAGAAGTGAATGAGGGGTGTGAATAGAGGAGTCGTTAACGAGTCACTTGTTTTTCGATATTCCGATTGCGTGCATACACCCATTTTGGGATGACCAGCTTGGCTGTATCATATCTCTGAAACACACGTTCTTGCTTATCATCGTCTACAGTAGACTTCCTCGTACAGATCTTATCGGTTTCTTGCACGACGAAGCGGATTAGCAACATTCCGATAATATCCGAATTTTAGAATCAATGCCATATTTCTATGTCCAAAGACTTTACAAACCTAACTTTCAAAGTGTATTACTATTCATGTGTTTAGTTTACTACTTTCTCGCTTCCAGCAGTTTCATTCGCTTGCTCCATCTGGAATAGGGGCTCGCGTAACATTGTCGTTGCGAGGACCTAGCGGGACCATCTCTTGTAAATGTCAACAGAAATGTAATGATTTATAGATGCATCATAGGAATTAGTTCAATGTACCTGTACAGTACTCGGTCTTGAACTTTGCCAAAACCGTTCCCAAGATGGGTACCTGTCATATTTCGTTCAACACCGTGATTCTCATATATCTTCAGCCAATTCGAAGAATTTATATATGAAACAGAACGAGGAACCGACAGCACGATAATGTTACACGAGCTGCTTTGACCGATTCGAAAAATAAGCAGCCCTAGAAATTAAAATCTATATGAAGAAGGGTTAATTTGTGGTGGTTTTCTTTTGTTGAATTGATGTCTAACCTAATCTTTCCTAGTAGTGTACTGATCAGTCTGGATTTATGAATAATGAGACAAAAGAGATTTAGGATTAGATGTGTGGTTTAAATGCAAATGCCGCTAGATTTTGAAATCGAAGATTCTATTTATCAAAGTGGAGTATATATTTTGGTCCCAAACACGGCCAGATCCATATGTTGGGAGTAGAAATATACCATGTAGATGTATATCAAAAGGTTGCCTGTCTCGGGCGACGCCATGTATATGATCCCCCATGACCGCTTTCAAACTCCCGTCCGTCCATACCCGTCTCATACCGAGTATCCCCATGTGCCGGTAGGCGACTGGTGTTCTGGCCGCCTTCTATACTTGGAGAATCCCCAACTCGGCTAACTTGCTGTCTCCGAATTGATTCCTGTCCATTGCCACCTCGCCCAGCATTACTGAACCATCTCCCCACATTCCATAGTTCTCCCGTCCATAGCAAACAGAGAGCGATAACAAGTATTATCAATGGGATGGCAGTTACCCAGAAGACCCACTGGTCGATGTCCATGTTACGTACATCATTTGTGTTCATACCGAGGATGCCCGCCACTGTAGTTAGTGGAAGAAAGATAACGGTGACGATTGTGAAGACGAAGATAGCAGCTTCTTGACGGTCTTTGTTGTAGTTTATTTTGGCCATATTCTGGGATTTCGGAAAAGTTAGCTGCCATTATCAGATCTGAGTAGGAAGCGAAATAGAACCTACGGAGGCCTCGAGCTCTCGAGCGAGTGAACTCATGTCGCGGAATTGCTGAATCTTTAGATCTAGCAAAGTATAACTCTCTTGTAGAAGCATATCCTGGATATGATTGTGTTGTGCTGGGTCTACTTTCTCTTTTGCTCCACTTCCTTATTTGATCCACTTATAGTTCTGCTGCCTAAATGCTTCATGTCTGCCTAAACCTCACACTCTTTATATAAACACCTTAGATAGCTACCTTTTACAATGCAATCAATTCTCCATGACCTTCAGTACTCAATAACCTTTCAACCCAATAACTATATATCGTAGTTTTATTTATTCTCTTTGTAGTAGAAGTCTAGAAGTCTTCTACGCGCGAGACTATACTCTTAAGGTTTTCATATAAGGCCTCGAGCTCCCGATAAACTCTTAGCATTGAAGTTCTCCTATTACTCGAATCCCTAGCTCGGGAGGTTATCGCTTTTATAGTATCCTCCCTTACTCTCTCTAGTAAAGCTTAGTTGCTTAGCATAGCGTGGCGAGAACGAATTTGGTTACATGTCGTAGATTCACTTAAATTCTGTGAGGGTTGGAACCCATGATGGAGGCTCGGGCCATGCCCTCGCTAAGCACTGACCAAAGTCCCTGCCTAGCACTGGCCATTACCCCACTGCCAAACAGGTTTCTACTTTTCCACACTTTCTTGTTTTGTTCTTCTGACATCATGTATTCGTCATTCAAGTTTCTTGCAAGTTTCTTGGAATATTCAGGAAGCTCTTCCTCTCTATATATAGAGGAAGAGCTCGCATGTATGTAGTCTTCACGCATTTAATTGAATATTCGAAACCACACCTTTGAGCTATTCGAGGTCTGGCCTCTCACAAATTCACTGATTATGTGTGGTTTAAACCATACTAAAATTGATTTTTGTTGCATATCGCGGTTTTCTTGGATCGACCCTTGGTTGTTGGTATGTTGTAGTTACGTAGCTTAACTATACTAAACTGAGTCTTGTTACATATCGCGGTTTTTCTGGATCAAGTCTTCGCTGTTGGTATCTGGTAGTTATGTAGCTTGACCATGATGAACTCGAGTTTTATTGTATATCGCGACCTTTTTGGATCAACCCTTAGTTATTAGTATCTTGTAGTTGTGTAGCTCAACTATATTAAACTTAAGTTTTATTATATATCGCGGTTTCCTACATTAACCCCTGGTTGTTAGTATCTAGTGGTAGCGAAGTTACATGGTTTATAAACTGAGATTTGATGAGATAAATCTGTCGAAGGGGGGCTTAGAGACTGTTCTTAGTTGTTAAGTACTTGAAGTTAAAGTGATAATTAGGTAACGTGGTTTATCAGCGAGTCGATCATATCACCGAGTCGATCATATCACCGAGTCGATCACTTTTCCTTGGCACTACCTCCTCAAACTTCAACACACGTTTTCTTCAACTATTTACCATGGAAATTCAAACTCAAGAAGCGCGAATTACTCTAGCTATCGAGGCTATTCGGTCGTCCAAAAAACTAAGCAAACGCTCTGCGGCAAAGATCTACAATGTACCATATACGACTCTTTCCGACAGAATGGCTGGCCGAACCTACCACCCAGATTCTCAAGCCAATTGTCATAAGTTGACTGAGTTAGAAGAGGAAGTGATTATTCGATATATACTGGATATGTATTCCAGAGGATTTGCGCCCCGGCTCGCTGGTGTAGAAGATATGGCTAATTTTATCCTTGAATCGCGG